TCATTTTCTTCTATCTTCTATGTTCTTCGCCATCCAGTGAAGGGGCACACAGGTTTCTTTTTTCATTCCCGTACTTAGTTAAAGATAAACAGAATTACAACTGCTTCTGAGAATCAATATTATGTAGCTGCAAGAGAAGAATATTTGGAAAGATAGATGTCATTTGTAATCTGTATATACAAGGGTGGTGGCTGTGTGGCCTCAGACAATTCACCCAATTCCTCTGAGCCTCAATTTCTTCTTTGGTATAGGTGAAATATTTCTAAAACACCGAACATATTTTTTATTTGAAGTAAATGCAATAATAAATTGAGCTTAACACTACAGCTAACCAAGAACAATGAATGTTAGTTTTCTTTACCTTCTCTGTCAGAGCTGAGTTTTGAAGCAGAACTTGTGCAGACACTCCTGAATTATGGTGACTAAGGGCAGCTGGCATATTGGTTATTTCCTAATTCAAAAGCAATAAACTGCCCTAGGACACAGCAACACATCTGTTCTGGCTTGAGCTAGAACCAAATAGCTAAAGGGTAATGAATGAGTGAGCTGACATGTGGGTAGGTTAGGAAAGACAGTTCAGAAAAATAATTTACTCTTCACTTGTTTTGATATTGACTCACAGAGTGACCCTTCATCAGGGGCTTATGTAGCTGCCTTTGGCATCCCAGATTCCTTTGTAGAACAACAGAGAGTGCCACCCCCACCCCTTGCTGCAAGCACAGAGTCACTTTGTTTACAGGCTTAGCCCTGACCTTTTCCAGAGCCAAACCTGAACAGGGATAGAATCTTTATTGTTGGTCTGGATAAAGCATGTCTTGGTAGCCTCAGCATACTTGTGAACCACTGTACACTCTCATCCCTGCTAGGGTTATGTGATCTGTGGAACTGAGTGCCTGCGTCAGTTTCCTTGCCGGCACCCCACTTCTGTTGTTCAGATCCCTGAAGATCTTCCCAGTCTTGTCAGGCCCATCCACCAGAGAGGCCAACATTGTCATTTATGTTCTTAGCCACAGTCTGGTGACATTCCTCTGAATGGCTTTTCCTCAAGAAATGGCAAGCTCACTTGTCTGTTGGGAAGTGTTTCATCTCTGTCTGTCCTACTAGTGTGCCCCATCTCCCAGATCATTTTGCTTTGGTTTTGGACAGCCTAAAGCACACTGCTGTGCACCATGTTGATTTGAATATGCAAATAGAACTGGACATCAATCACTTTGGAAATATGTAGTTTATTTGAGCACATTTCCCTCCAGCCATGCCAGTGCTAAGATTCATGACCTTTTCCAGTGAAGAACCTCACTGAGTTTAGAACAAAGCTTGTTGCATGTTTGAAAACCATGAATGTGTGATTTATTCACAAGCTTACAAATACTTCTGAAAATTGGTAATTGTTGACTTGTCAAGTGACCTCTGTACGTCCTTCTCAAAAGTTAACATGAATTCTTTCACAGTGTGACAATAGAACAACCTTTGTCAGAGGGAGGGAATCAAAATACCCTAGAACAAGGAGCTCCAGCACTTGATTTTAGCGCATATATAACACAGAACTCTGACATGGAAATTTTAAAAGTAAACAAAAATTATTTTCTCACAGATTGAATGTGGAAGAGGAATTTGTTACAGAATTAAATTCACTTAGGTTTTGAAGGAAAAAATAAACCCATCAATGTTGTGTTGGTTATTATCTTTCAATCCGAGAAGTAAGAGTGTGTGTGTGTGTGTGTGTGTGTGTGTGTGTGTGTGTGAGAGAGAGAGAGAGAGAGAGAGAGAGAGAGAGAGAGAGAGAAAAGCTACAAATCAGGAGATAACACATATACGTACAATTTAATTTATATGTAATTAAGGATGAAAGGTTGGAATTAATACTGAAAATAGTAAAACATTCTTTATCTTATAGTTTGTGCTCCTCAGTAGCCATCTAGTAAGTTACCTCTCTGTGCCAGGCAGTGTGCCTATTCTTGGTCACACAGAGCTGGATAAAGACAAAGCCTCCAAGCAAAAGAAACTCACATTCTGTTAGTGTAGTGACAGGTAAACTAAGAAATATGTAAGAGTACAAAAAGTGCCTTAATATAATAATACCATGGAGAGTTGTGCTTATTTTCCATGACTACTGTGTGTCAGGCATTGTATTAAAAGCTGTACCTGTATTATCTCATTTAATCCTGATAATAATTCTATAAACATAGTTATCTATATTTTACAGCTGAGGAAATTGAGGCTTAGAGACAATGACATAATTACATGGTAGTAACACAAGGGAGTATAGTTAATGCTGCTTGGGTAACAACAAACGCTTTACAGTGGAAGTAATTCTTCAGTTGGTGGTTGAAGGATGCTCAGGATTGATAGATAATGGAAAAAATGAGTCTAGGTAGAATAGAGAGAGTGAGCCAGAGCACTGAAATTGTGTAGTATGTTCAGGGAAATGTAAGAAAAGTGATGTTGCTATAGCATAGGTATGTATAGGTCAAGGGAGCATCAAGAGGTGAGCCTAGAGGACCATATTGTGAGGGGGCTAGGATGTCCTATTAAGAGGTTTAGACATTGCCTTGCAAGTGACCATTGGCTACGGGTGGGGTGGAATAGAGATTAGTCCCAGGGAAGGTTATGTTTGTGTTTTTGAAAGATTACTCAGGTAACCAATGTGTGAGATGGTTTGGCAATGGATTGGAGTGCCTTGAGTCAAGAGGCTTAATTAGAAGGTCATTGTACATCCAGGTAGCAGATGAGGTGTGCCTGAATGAAGACAATGGCATGAAGAGAGAGAAGAGAATGCTCTTGAAGATAGAGTAGACAGTATTGGTAATCGATAGGAAGTAGGTGATAGAATGAAGGATTGCTCTTGATTTACAGTTCTGTGGGCTGATATTTAAGAACAAAATGGATGACCAGGCACCTTGAATAATTTTCATTAGGTTTAACTGTCTTAAGGAAGTGAGGAAACAAATTGAAGACTATTTGCTTTTTAAAAGTGGTTCTGAGCAAGAGAAAAGGAAATACCCTAAATAGGCAAGGGACACCAGGAAGCTTTCTATCATCCCACCTCTTTCTATCACCCCACCTCTGATTCAAAGCACACCTGGCTCACATTATGTTACCAAGGTGCAAAAATTTATAAGTAGCCTGTATGTCAGTGGCAATTATTTTAATGCTAACATCACATTAATTTTATTTGACATAGATGACCTTAAAGGAATAGAAATTTGAGCTTATGTTTTGGGGGTGGGTATAATATAATAAGATAGTCATGTGCCTCATAATGACATTTTGGTCAACAACAGACTGCATATGCAACAGTGGTCCCAGAAGCTTATAATGGAACTGAGTAAATCCTATCACAGAAATACTTACCATAGTGTTACAGTTGCCTACTGTATTTAGTACACTAACAAGCTGTACAGGTTTGCAGCCTAGGAGCAGTAGTTAGACCATATAGCTAAGCTGTATTGTAGGCTACCCACCTAGGTTTGTGTAAGTACACTGTATAATGTTTGCACAATGACAAAATTGCCCTGTGAAACATTCTCAGAACATATCCCCATTGTTAAGTAACTTATCAAGGGAGGAATAAGTTTGGAACTTTGAATACATTAGTGACTCTTGGCTGGCTGGAATTGAAGAATGTTAGACTGTTGAACAGTGATAGGTAATAGTGTCCTTTGATGAATCTTTGTATGCATAGTGGTGACCTATCTCCTAACTGCCACAGAATTATATTGGGTAAAGTGAAGTGGACGCCCAGTCACTTTTTCTAGTTTGCTTGGGGCCTGTGAGAAAGAACTTAAACCATTCCCAAACAGCGTTCAGAGATTTACTGTACCATCAGTGAGTGGATTGAGGGTCCTTGAGGATCAGAATGGTGAAAGAAACCAGAAGGCTATCTAGAGAAACCACCATATGTAAAGAAGGTAGAGCTGATTGGGTCAATCAGGGTGGACATAGGTTGCAGATATAATGCGAAGCTATATCTGGTAATCTCACATCTCAGCCTCCCTCATGTCCACCAGGGACCTCAGAGCTCTGCTTGGTGACCCTTTTCTGAAAGAGCTGATCATAAGAAGTGGAGGATATTCCATTGCCAGTTCAAACGACAGAACAAAGCTAGAGGTCAATGGCTCAGAGGAGACTGTCAGTGGTCTATAGTCAGTGGAGCAACAGATGTCAACAGAATGGAAGGAGAGTTATAGACTAAGGAGACGAGGGCAGGAGGACTCCAAGTTTGCAACCAGCTCCAGCTCTGGTTATATGAGGATGCCCTGCTCACCCCACTCAAGGACTCTCTGAGGGAATAGCTGGAAAGGAGTTCTGGAGAGAAGAATAGACTTCCAGTTCTAGGTCATCAAATAAATGGAATCCTCATGTACTAAGATGTGGCATCTAAATGACTCACGTTTGTACTTAATGATTGCTGAAGCCTGGAACAATTTTATTCCAATGAAAGATGCTCAATAATTATTCATTGAAAAAGTGCAGGAATCATAAAACATTTTAGGATAGGTTAGGTTGGGTCTGACAAACAAACTTAAATGAGGAAAAAGTTTAGGTAGACAGTGGACACCTGGTCATACCAGATGTAAGAAATCAAAATTATATAGCTCTTATTTTTAAAAATAATATTTAAAACATTTCTAGGATTCTTGGAGACAGACAGAACCCCATTTGCCTTTAAACACCATTTTTTCCTTCTCTGTAACTAAGTTAAGCTGCTGGTGCCCCTTTTAGATCTGGAGGCAAACCTGCAGTCAGATAAGGAGAGAGGATTTCCATGTTATGGCACCAAGTGGCGATTAACGTTATGGCACTTGGTGCCATAAACGAGACAGGTGCCACCCAATTTTTAATGATTGACAAATTAATAACCTAGAATGAAAGTGTCATGAAAGCAGGGACTTTGTTTTGCTCAGTGTCATACCCTTAGCACTTATAATAGTTTCCAACACACAGTAGATGGTTGGTTAGTGAATATTTATTGAACCAATGAATCTCAGAGAAAAGATTTTTTGACTTCTGAGTTGGGGGAGGAATAAGGAATGATCATAGTTATAATAATAATAGCTATTCCTTATTGAATGCCACTATTATTCACTACTATACTGGATGCATTTTATAGTTTATTTCAGTTAATCCTCCAAGTTACCTTATTAGATAGACACTGTTATCTCCATTTCATAACTGAGGAAAACAAGGAATCAAAGAGGCTAAGTCACCGGACTGCGATCTTATGGCTAGTATGTGGCAGACCCCAAAATGAAGCCTGTTTGTCTGACTCCAAGCCTATGTCTTTTCATTAAATGTTGCTGTCACTCTATCTAAGATGAAACAATTTTCCTCTGACCGAAGAGCCTCTTGAGGGCCCTCTTCATGTCCTTGTTCCTTAGGCTACAGATAAAGGGGTTCAACATGGGAGTCACTATGGTATACATTGCAGCTGCTGCAATGTCCTTCTCTTCAGAGGCGATAGAGGGAGGACACAGGTAGGCACTGAAGAGGGTCCCATAGAACACACAAACAATGCAGAGGTGGGAACTGCAGGTGGAAAAGGCCTTGCCCGCCCCACCATGGGTTCGGATCCTCAGGATAGCAGGCACAATGTGGATGTAGGAGGTGACAATGCATAGAAAGGGGACAATGAGCACTGTGCCTCCCAAGACAAAAACCATCATCTCGTTGATGTGGGTGTCAGAACATGATAGCTTCAGGACAGGAGTGATGTCACAGAAAAAGTGAGCAATTTCCCCAGTCACACAGAATGACAGTCGAGCCATGAGGAGTGTGTGAGTCAGAGCAACAACATTGGTGAGGACCCAGCACAACGTGAGGATTAGGGCACAGACTTGGGGGCTCATGACTGTGGAGTAGTAGAGGGGGCAGCAAATGGCCACATAGCGGTCATACGCCATGGCAGCCAGGAAGAAGCTGTCCAGATCACCAAACATCAGAAAGAAATACATTTGCGTGAGGCAACCCATGTAGGAGATAGTGTGATGCCGTGTCTGTACATTCACCAGCATCTTGGAAACTGTGGAGGACGTTAAACCTATGTCAACAAAAGACAGGTTGGCCAAGAAAAAGTACATGGGGGTGTGGAGGTGCAGGTCAGAGCCAATGGCCAGGATGATGAGCAGGTTCCCAGTCAAGGTGACAAGATATATACACAGGAAAATTCCGAAGAGAGACTGTTGTTGCTCAGGAGACACAGATATTCTTCGGAGGAAAAACTCAGAAACACTGGATTGGTTTTCCATGACTCTGCAGCATCTGGAGCTGAAGGAAGACAGTTAGAGTGCTAGATTTCATGTAAAACTGCATGGGCTGACTCTCAAATCTCCCTTTAAGTTCATTGTATTCCTAATCCTGAGTTTATCTTCAATCCGACTCTACTTCTTTTCTCTCTTTCTCAGGGTCTCATTCAGCCCCCCCTTCTCCCCTCTTTCCCACGATTTAATCTCCTACACGGAGAGTACCTTTCCAATAAGGTCAGGGCATATTCTTCCTTGGCATTATCATGTCTTAGACTAAGCCTACAACCTCCTGATAGTTTTATTCTTGCAGTAGGCTGTATATCTGAGTAGACCAAGGTCAGCTAAATTTTACATTCTTTTGGGAGGTAGCCAAAAAAACTCACACAAAATTCTTATTTTTTACACATCCTCATTCATTTTGGAGTGAAGGGAGTATGAAGGATTCATGCCTCTTTATTTCTTCATTTTTTTTGAAAAAGAAAATATGAAGCCCTGCATTTGAGTTTTTGTCATTGGATCATCATCATTCTGTAGCTAATGCATATTACGTTAGCCACATATGTGACAGGCACTCTGCTGAGTACTTTAAGAAGATTCTTTCCTTTAATCCTTAAACAACACTAGGATACAGAGATTATTATTCTTACCCTTATATAAGAAAACTAAGGCTAGGGATGTTTAAGTGAATTATACAAAGACCCACAGCTCATAAATACTTGAGACAGAATTCAAACCCACAGCACTGGATTCCAGAGACTGCAACCTCAATCAACATAGATAGAAAGTAACTTTCTACCACCAAATTTATGTTTAATCTCTCAGTACTCCTAGTTTACCACACTTAGTCTCACTTGCCCTTACTATCTTTTATATTTGTCTTTTACAGAAGAACAATGAAGTTTAAGAACTAGATAGAACCTGTAAGATCACCTGGTCCAGAGTTCCCCAAGCATTGGTCTGTGGACCAGCTTATCATAATCAAGTGAGATGCTTGTCTAAAATCCTGATCCCAACCAGGCGTGGTGGCTCACGTCTGTAATCCCAGCACTCTGGGAGGCCGAGGAGGGTGGATCACCTGAGGTCAGTAGTTCCAGACCAGCCTGACCAACATGGCGAAACCCAGTCTCTATTAAAACTACAAAAATTAGCTGGGCGTGGTGGCACATGCCTGTAATCCTAGCCACTCAGTAATCTGAGGCAGGAGAATCGCTTGAACCTTGGAGGCAGAGGTTGCAGTGAGCTGAGATCACACCACTGCACTCCAGCCTGGACAATAGAGTAAGACTCCATCTCAAAAAAAAAAAGAGAAAAATTCCTGATCCCTACCTCAGACCTGTTGAATTTAAATTTCTAGGATACAGTTTAGATACCTGTATTTAAAAACTAAAATCGAACCCTTCTCAGGTATTTTGATGCTCAATGAGGATTAAGAAAATGTTGCTTAGTCCAACTCCTCCCTTTGATTCAGATACATAAGCTAAAGTTCAAAAGAATGAAATGATTGAAAAAGTTTACACTATGTCTTGGAGGAAGATATGGTACAAAAACCAGGATATCTGTGCTCTCAGACAGGTGTTCTTTTTAAAAATCAGCTATCTTTTCATTTTTTGAATTATTCTTTGTTATTAATATCTTACAGATCTAAATGTGTTTTTTCCTGATTTATATTCAGAGGCTATACCTAAACAAAAAGTTACCTTCAAATGGATAGCTTTAGTAAAGCACTGTTCATATTTTGAAGTGGATACTTCAAACGTTAGATAGAGGAACATCTGAGAACTATTGCATATGTATCTATTTCTGAACCCTGCACTGAATGAAGTTGTATAATCTCAGGGTTATATAACTTCCCTGAGAGATCAGAAAGCTACAATCCAAGTTATTTTCTCCCCTACTTCATCACTTGATAGGGCACATTCTGACAAGGCACATTCTGATAACCATGTCCCGGAGGATAAGAGATCCTCTTATGATTCAGCTGATTGTCTCATCGAGAAGGGTTACAAAGTGGCAGACAATGCCATGTTTTCCTGGCATGGAGACCCTGCCTTCAGCAAGTATCTCCTTTCATTGAGGTTTTCAAAGAGACTGTAAGTTATTTTAGGGAAGAGTAGCGTCGTTTTGATCCTCCATGTTGGCATATATGGCCTTGATCAGGCTATTTCTGTGGGTTCTTTGATCTATGGCACCAACTGCTTAACATCAGAAAACCCCCCAAATCTTCAAAAAGGGTCAAAGGCTCGCCATCGTAAGCCTAGCTTTTTTACCTTCTGTCATTTTTTTCTCTACTCAAGCACCTTGCACCATCTCTTGCCCTGTCATTTGGTTTTTCTCTTTCCCTAAAAGGGTTTCTCATCCTTCATCCTATCTATGGCCTCATAAAACTCTGTAGATCCTTGAGACATCAATGGGTGTTTCCAGAAACTTGAGCCAAGCCTTCCCTCTGTCATCCCAGGGTAATGAGGTCCCTTTACTTACCTCCACTGCCTTTTCATCTGTGTCAGCCAGCAGATAAAAGCTGGCTTGAATATGATGGAGAGAGTATTCCAAATGTAGGACATGCCCACCTGCAACTGTTTGTTTCAAGTTACCCTGCTTGCCGCTACCATGGTAAAGGAGAAGGCAGTACAGAGGTCCTTAATTTGAGGGGAAGAGCTCAGATTCTTCCTGACAATCTCTGTGATGGCATTAACTAAAATCAGGGTACAGGATCAAGAATAATAAATGCAAATGGCAAAGAGCTGGAAGCAGAAGTCAGATTGCTAAACCAAGATTAAAAACATACTCAAAGGGGCTTAAGGGAGGGATGGAGAGACTAGGATTGTAGAGAAGAAGTCCATGAGATTAATAAAGGACTGCAAAGCCAAGTCAAGGCCAGATCAGTAGAGGAGGCTGGAGCAGTCACAGTTACGTTCATCAGCTAGAACAGAGATCAGAAAGAAGAGTATTTGAGATGACTTGGGACGCATGGAACTCTGATCCCACCTAACCAAGATCTCTGGGACTTTTGAAGTTTTCTATATTTATATTTTGAAACCTGAACTGATAAACTCAGAAGCAGGGAGCTGCTGGCTTATCAGGCTACTACCAGGAGGAGGCTGAACGTGCTCCATGTAGGGCATCTACATACAGGGAGTCATGGGACAGAGTTCCCTAGAGCCCTGTTAGTATTAACCCTCATAATTGCCCAATTTTCTCTCTGTATCTCTTATAACAGACCAAATTAGTACAGTGCTGGCTTTATTTAAAAATTGGGAAGCTTTACTTCTTTCTTTATGTTAAGTGGTAGTGTTAAGGAGTTAAGGTATTAGTATTGATTTGTAACCACAGTCTTTGGCAAAAATGAACTTTCTGTGTAAATGCAGATCTTTGCTTCCCCCTTACAATAAGGTTTTTGATTCTAACACCCTCTAAAAAAAAACCCACAAGCTGCTAACATCCACCTTTACAAACAATTTAATGGCATATGACATATCTTTAAAGAAGTCTTATGCTTCTGGTTAATGATGTTATACTAAACTCATGTATCTAATTTTATTCCATCCATAAACTCTACTAAAAAGTGATTAAAAAAAAAAGACATAAAACCCACAAGGACAGAGAAGAGAGGCAAGCAATAGTAACCACAAATTGTGGAAACTAGAAACCAGATGGATATGTGGGTGATGACCGACACTGCCCTCAGCTTGATCAAACTTTAGATTGATTTCTTCCTCACTATAGGCCCCTGGCTTCCCTTTTCTTTACATTTGCATTAGAGAACTTATAATTGTAATTTTTTTTCTCTGCTCTTTTGAGATGTAAATATTCTCCTAGATTCTTGATGGTTTCATAGCTCAAGAATGTCTTTCTCCAGGACTTGGGAGCTATTCCTTGGAAATGTAATCATGAAGAAAGATAGATAAGTTCTAGTTTCATTCTTCTGCATATGGATAGCCAACTTTGCCAGCACCATTTATTGAATAGGATATCCTTTCCCCATTTATTTTTGTTGATTTTGTCAAAGATCAGTTGGTTGTAAGTATGTGACTTTATTTCTAGGTTCTCTATTCTATTCCACTGATCTATGTGTCTATTTTTGTAATAGAACCATACTGTTTTCATTACTATAACCTCATAGTATAGTTTGAAGTCAGGTAATGTGATGCTTCTAGCCTTACTCTTTTGCTTAAGGTTGCTTTGGCTATTTGGCTCTTTTTTGGTTCCACATGAATTTTAGAATTTTTTTTTTCTAATTTTTAAAAAAATGATGGTAATTTGATAGGAATTGCCTTGAATCCGTAGATTACTTTGGGCAGCATATTCATTTTAATGTTATCGGCTCTTTCTATCCACGAGCACAGGGTGTTTTTCCCTTGGTTTGTGCCATTGAAGTGGCCTCATTGCCTGTGCTAGCATCTGAAGTTCTTGGTCTCATGGCTGAGAAAATAAAAAATGTGGACACACCAAGGGTGAGGTCAGAGCAGAAGCAGAAGTTTAATAGGTGAAAGAAAGAGAACAGCTCTCTGCAGCAGAGAGGGGTCCTGGAAAGGGTTGCTGTTTTTACAGTTGAATGCAAAAGTTTGTCCCATGCAGCCAGCCATCTGAATTCTGTCATTGTAGATTAGGTTTGCTTTTCCCAGAGTCAAATAAATAGAATCTTACAGTATGCACACTTATGTCTGGTTTCTTTGGCTCAGCAAAGTGTTTGAGATTCATCCATGTTGTGGTGTATATCAGTAACTTATGTTTTCATTGCCGAGTAGTATTCTATTGTATACCACAATTTGCTTATGCCTTCTATAGCTGATGGGGATTTTGGCTGTAACTATTTTTGATCGTTATGAAAAAGCAGCTGTGAACACTCATGTACAAATTTTTGGGTGAACACATTTCATATGATAACTGTATGTTCATAATTTTAAAAATATTCATTTTCCAAAGCAGTTATACCACTTTACATTTCTACCAGCACTATAAGGGGATTCCAGTTGCTCATATTTTTTGTTGTTTAGACAGGGTCTTGTTCTGTCACCCAGAGTGGAGTGCAGGGGTGTGATGATCTCAGCTCACTGCAGCCTCAACCTCCCAGGTTCAAGCAACCTTCCCAACTCAGTCTCCC